TCTTAATATTGTTAAAATACTAAAAGCAGATCTGACGAATAATTGCTGTAGTGGCTGAAATGTCTATGGATAACTGAAGCATGAAGTGAGGAAGGCAGCTGTAACGTGCGCAAACAAATTAATCATATTCAGTCCTGGATAACAAAAAAGAAAAGGTAGTCAAAAGTTCTTTTTTCCAGCTCTGTCATAGAACTCAAGTGCCTCCCAAATCACCATGAATACATCCCTATATTTCCACTTAGAAATTAGGAATGACTAGTAGTATAAAGATCTGATAGACAGGAATATTAAGTAACTTCTCTATGTCTGCATTTGGAAGTCTCTGGGATAACACAGATTTCCAAGTCTCAAGCAGAATTTTAAATTATATTTTATACAAAACTTTAAAATGAAAACAGTGTTAAAATGCTCAAATTGTGCCATCTGAAAGATTAATTAAAAAAATGTGGTGCCTCATGCCCAAAATACATATTACAATCACTTGCATAATTAGCTTCTCTCTACACAAAACATCACTGTTTGAACTGTAGCTGTTTTGGGACCTTCCAGGTCTGCAAGAACATTATCTTCCTTGACTAATATGATGGTTGGAATATCCTGGATAAGAAAAGACTCAAAGTATCAGATCTCCCTTGAGCGCTGACCCAACATATGGTCCTGCAAATTCTGAAAGATGGTGTTTGGTACAGTATGGTGAATATTCTTAACATGAGTGCTCTTCCACTATGTGAGAAAGAGGGGGTTTTCTTATCCCTAAAATGACTGTCTTCAATAAGTGGTGATTCACTGAACTAGCCCTGAAGCTGCGTTTGGAAGCTCAGTATTCAAAAACCATCTGTGCCAGCAAGTACCAGGAGAGGGCTTTCACTTTATATTTAAACAAATTATACCCTGAGATATTTCAAACATATACTCTGTATTTATGTATTTTGGGATACTAGCCATAGGTCTTGATGTAAAGCCAAATTATTTTATTATTATTAAATACAGAAAACTACTTGTATTTAACCTCCACACTTTACATAATAAAAAAGAAAAAGCCTTAAGATTCAAGACAAAAACTTGAAAAACATGAACTGAATAGATTCGAAATCCATAAGGTAAACAAAAGCAACTCAAAATAACCTGACATTAGAGGTGCTTAAGGATACTAACTAAAGAGCTGAAGTGGTTGTTCTCCCATTCCTGTATATGTCATCCTTTGCCATCCACTGCTGTGTATCAACGCAAGCATCAACAGGACACAGCAAATAAGAATCACACAGCACTGTTGATAAATGCATAATACAGCTCAAGATTACTAGATTCCTAACTTGATAATCATGCATTAAATTCCAAAATGCAGTAACATTTATTTTCCAATAAGCTTGTCCTATCATTAAGAACATGAAAAAACAAAAATCTGCAAATGCAGTATTTTCAACTCTGCAAGGCAGAGAAGCTGAATTCTTCTAAAGATACCTCATTTCTCTTTACTCCTTCTCTTTCACTCTTGATCTAAGCCACAATATTATAATAAGCAAAATGAATTACTGATGAGCTGCTAGCTGCTACAGAGGAACCTGTGTTTCTATCAGATTATCTAAAATATGAGAAGACAAGAAAGGTACTAAAAAGAAAGTGAATGAAGAGCAGGTGATCTCAAGTTTGCCGTCTCTGTCTTCTTGTAAGTTCCTTCTCCAGTGCCCACTGGGCTCTAGGCCAAACTACTTCAACAAGCTAAGCTGAAACTATTCACTTTTTATTGCTGTTAGGTTAGTTTTCTGCCAATTTATCAAATGGGAACGGGTTAGCACAAGGTACAACAAGAGCCAGAGCCAATGAAAGGGAAGGGGCAGGAATGCACTACTAGGGATTGGGATAGAGATCACATTGAGATTAGCTCAGGTTACTGTGTAATCACAGTCTGAAACTAGTTACACATTTGGTGGCAGTGTTATTTGAGGACACCTAACCCCTGCTCATGCACTTTTTTGTAAAATCTTTTATTCCTATTTTTTGAAAGGATTTTTTTTTTTTTTTAATATGGGTGCATGGAGAAGCAAAACAACAAACATACATGATATAAAATCAGCCTCACTCCAAAACTTCTAATTTTCACTCTCCCCAGGTAAAAGTGGTCAAAACCCGCAGCCATACTAGTACAGAAGAGGCAAATGATGTGCCTGGCCTTGATAATTTAAACTAATTCTACCATCAGAAAAAAAGTCAATTTATCTACAACAGGAAAACAAGCAAACAAGTTCAAATGAGCCCTGGCAATGTGAGACAGTTTAAAGAAAACACTCTTGAACAAAGTGCTGGTAGAAGAATATTTCCAATCATGAGCACAAACTTGTTCACATTTAAAAGAGCTGTTTCTCTGTGTACAACAAACAGTACTTGATCACAGAAACACTAAACTCTCCCATCAACTTCTCTTAAGCAGAATAACCACCACTACTCCACAAACTGACCTCCTGCTCAGATCAAAAAGTTATTGTTAAAAACATCTAATTTCCAAAGAGAAATTGTGAGCTAGTATTTCTGTTAAACCAAGAAACTGGACTGAAATTCAACACTTCTCATTGAAAAAAAATAGCCAATGCAACCAAGTAAAATATCAAACAAGAGTTCAGAAATGGAAAAAATGTAAAATGCAGGGTGGGATGATTTGTAAATGTTATCACTTTGGATCAGCAAATGTGCAGTGTCCTAGCTGCAACAAAAGCAGACATGTATGTCAAAAAGGGTAGGCCAAGAAAGCTCTTACCAACTCAGACCTTGCAAATAGATTATCAGTAGCAAGGACTTAAGCAGCTTAGAAATCACTTAGAGAGATCAGAAGGTCACAGACCATAGTGGAAATCAGACATCTGAAACTCGAACTGGGCTAAGGGGATGTCTGGACAGGATATAGTTTTAAAATAGTTTTCTCTGTTGTTTATAATTTCCAGAAATCCAAAGAAGATAAATCAGATAGCCTTAGACAAACAATACAAACTTCCAGAACCTTTTTAAAGTGAAACATTTTTGAGGAGCTCGGTTTACTTCTGCACAGCAGCCCTCGTATGTAGCTCAGAAAAAGAGAGGGAGTTTCTAGCAGCCAACTTGTATGACACAGCTTCTACAATACTAACCCCCCAAAAGACTCTGAATAATCCAGATACAGCATCCAAGTCTTTGAAATCAATTTGCAGCCAGACACCAATATAAGTCAGCCAGAAGGAGAGGGATGGGAGCACTTCAGTCTGAACTGGCAGAAGTCACACAATTCATGACTCCAGGATATCTATGTATCAGCAAAAGCCTCAAGGGTATGTATCAGCAAAAGCCTCAAGGGTAATTTGTCAATTGAGTAACAAAGAAGTTCAGCAAAATTTGGTCTAAGAGTGCAACAAAGGAAGTAAAAAATCTCCAGAAACTTTTGGAATTTGCCACAGACCTTTATCTTTCCTTTAAGTACTATACCAGGAGAGCAAGGAGCTTCTAGACAGAGGGAAGCTGTTCACCATAACCCACCCAGGCATATAGCTCTGAATAAAATGTTTCACCAAAGGTGACCACAATTTGGTTAACCAAACTATAAAAGCTTAAAAAAAGATATTTTTAAGGGGACAATAGAAAATAAAAATGAATTTCTGGTATTTAGGAAAAAACATTCCTTTCATCAAGTAAAGATGTATGGAGGACGTACATTTGTACATCATGAATCTGAAGGGACCATATATTATTTCAAAGTTTCAAATTAGTTTTAAATTAAACAATGGAAGCCAAAGCTATCACTGTTTAGCTTCTAATGGAAGTTCTTTTTTGTTCTGTTGCCCCAGCATTTCTTACAAGTGCTTGCAGATGAGAACAGAATTCTTTACTGAATGTAAGACAAGGAGGGAGACTGAAAGGAAGGCAATGCAACAAGACAGCACAAAACCCAGCAAGCTCCCTCAGCCTGAAACTACTTTGACTAGAAAACAGGAGCACCTTCTACATATCTAAAGTCATAAGTCAACTTCAGAATATACACAAGATGCGTTTCTGTTCCTAGCTCAGCTAATTCCTTTGCACTAATCTTAGCACATGAAAAGAGAGAGAAGTCAGATAAAAGCTATCCAAAATGGGAAACAAAAAGGTCTTTGGAATCGCCTGGCATTTAGATAGCCAAATGTCAGAGCCAAAACTGTTAGTCAGTTATTCAAAACAAAACATTTGCATTTTCCTCAGAACACGCATATAATAGGGAGAATTACTTTGACTCTTATTTGTAGTCATATTAGCAGAAATAAAAGCACCCAAACTTTATCTGTACTAAACAACACAGTATTCTTACTGCATTATCTAACATAAGTTAACCTAATTATCCTAGTTTTCTACTTTGGCTAATATATATCATGCTTACGACGATTTTGCATTCCATTGAGTAGTGTAGCTACTTCTCCATTTAAGATAACAGAAGAATCCTGTTAATGAACCAGATTCTGCTTCTAGAGTACAATATTCTTATTAAAAAAGCATACAATTTAGCAAGATTGCAAACACATTTTTGCAGCTGCAGGGGACAACTAGCCATTCTGTAAAAAGTTTAGACACATATTTGTAAGCAAACTGCACTTAATGTTATTACTACAAGCTCTTAGTCCAAACTGTAAGCAAGAATACAGTTATGTTTCTCAAGATATTTCTTCATGCCCTACTCTTCTTCCTGTCTTCCTGTGGAATATGCAGAGGAGAAAAACAGTATAAAGGCAGTGAACAGTTTCAGGGAGAGATCTATACTTTGCATTTAACTTATTTTTTCTAAAAATATTCTTCCATTATCTGTTGAAAGTTAACACTTGAAAATACAATCAACATGCCAGTTTAACTGAGGCAAGATAAACTGGACTCAGTCCTTCTAACTTTGGAATTTGCATCACCTTGTTCAAGTTACACAGTTCAATGAAAATATCAGCATGTAGCATTTCTAGTTATTCCTACCAGGTTTTGAAAGAGTAATTTATCTGATTCTGTGCATCGACATGTACCTCTCCCCCTGTGGCAAGCAGTCCAGGTGAATCAAGCTTCCGTTTCTTCCGAGGACCAATAGCTGCCAATGCAGTGAGATTGGCATCTCTCTGTCTCATCTGTGCAAGTTCTTGTTGCTGCATCTATTAGAGAGAGGAAAAAACTCTGGTTACTTTTAATTCTGTTGTCATTTCAAGAAGTTATTCTCAGCCCTGTGAGCATCGAGTAAAACTGACACATGAACAATCCCTAAGAATACTCTGCTGTTCCTAGAAATACCACTTTAGCAGCTCAAGCATGCAGCCTTGCAGTAGAGTAATAAAGACACAGAAGATCTCGACTTTTTTTTTTCCAGTAACTCAACTTTTTTTTGAAATCTCCACCCTTATTGAAAACTGTATTAGCCAGTACAATATACCAACCACACATCTCCAGCTTAAGATTGATACGAAGAATGTAAACACCAATTCAAATCCTCAAAAAATATCTCAAACATTATTTCATCTCAGATTTTGAATATTTCAAATATACTTGATACTTGCTTCAAAAACCCCAACATACCTAAATTTATAAAACACTTCTAAGTATTAGAAGAAACTAGTGCTGACACAAACCCCCTACAAACTGAATTTATAATGGATTTATGCAATTAGATTTCAGGTAACAACACCTTTGACTAGACTGAAGCTAAGAAAATAACCTGCAAGTGCATTATGCGACAATATACCAAACTGCAGAAAATAAGAGAAAGTATCCTGACCACCCCATGCTGAAGAGGAAGGTCTGCGTATTCATTTTAAGTATAATCCTTTCAGAGAGTTAATGGTAACAGAATATTCCCATGAACAATCTTACTGTAAAAAATATTTTGATCAGCAATACTACATGAGAATAACTTAGGTAATGCAACATATTATTTTAATTAGATAAAAGCATTCAAAGCTCCATAGCTCCTAATAATCATTCTTGCAAATTTCAAAACTTTGGGTTTGCATAATCCTTCAGTAAATTCAGAGGAGGTGTTTGTTTTCTAATCTCTTTGTTGTCATATTTATTCTCACTTCAACAGAAATGCACAGAACACTACCTCAAGAAATTCAGTACTGGTAAGGAAAACCTTGTATGATACAAACAATTCTTCATTAAAATAAAACTGAACTGACAAGTGTAGATGGAAGTGTCTCAGCCATTAGTTACATGAACTGAATATACATAAGCAGGGTCTGAACTATCTTGGCCAATGTGAAAAGGAAAGGAAATTCAAACTAAAAGTACCAATGTATGGTATCTTTTCTCCAGCTGCTTCTGCCTAGAAAGAGCAGGTCCACTTCATGCATTCTATTTAGTGTATTTTTTAGTTTCATTCATTTAGAAATGCAACATATTTTCATGTCCTTCAGAAAAATCAAATTCAGTTCATTTAGAGTTCGAAACCCCATTTTTCCACATTTTTATGCTATATATTTTGTGACTTCAGTTATTATCATAAGTTGAATATAACATTATCTACAAACACACATCTCATCTACAGGACAAAAGAATTTCCTAAATACAAAATGAAATGTGGAAAAATATCTAAATAATAGTGCAAAGGTCTATACATACTTCCCTTTGCCAACTCATATTAGCTTTTTAGCTCAAATATCTTTGGCTCTCTTCCAGATTAAATGCCAGTTAGACAGACTTGCCCGCTTACCCTTTCAAGGTAGATAGCAACAGTGGTGAGCTCTAATCATTTACAAAGGTCATGATCGGAAGCTAGCCCGTAAGCAGTCATTTAAAATTCGATTGATCCCTATTTGTAGTCAGGGAAAGAAAATGGACATTTCAGCTGTATTGTAATTATGAGGCTTCAAGGCAACTGTAAATAGATGTGCAAATCCAGATACTGGCAAATACCTTAGAGAAGAAATTATTACTACAGTATAACATATATCCAGGAAAGGTTGAAGATAAAACTGCATATAAAAAAAGATCAATCATCTTTTTGCTAATTTGCCATGCTTGCCAGCCTATAAGGGTTATCACAATTATCCGAAGTCTGATGAATATTTAAGCAAGGGACAACTGGCTTGGAGTGATCTCAGACGAAGTTGTAAAGTGGATGGCTTCACAGAATAAGAAATGTTGCACTGGAGGAAGTATTCACTTCCTGGAAGTGCGGGTCAAAGATAAAGTCTGACAGGTAACTGTTATCATGCAGAAGTTATACGAGCATCTTCTTCAAAGTCACCATTTCCATTTAGCACATGACATGAAATCTGGGTCAGGCAATGGAGCCGGGCTCTGTTCTATTGAAACTGGGTGAATACCACCAAGATCCTTCCCTTCTTCACTTTCCCGTGGCTCTCACCCTGCTTCACACAGCATGTCTATTATTTAGGCTGTAAGTTTTCAAGACATGGATCCTCCTCAATGTGCCTTACTTATAATCTGGCCCCAATGGGACTAATACACACTAATACAAGTAAGGAATATGCTGCCAGGTACAAAAACTCCAGACAAAAACACAATACAGTTTCTGATGTTGGTTTTACAGTACACACCTTGGTATACTACAATAGAAAACAAAACCTCCTTATGTATACTTCAAGGAATATTGGTCATAAAAATATCAAATGCATCAAATATATTTGCATCATCAGTACAACCACTGTATCCTGGTGTTTTACTTAGTAAGAGCTGACACAGTGAAATACTTGATAGGTATTATAGTACACAAATTCTCATCAATCTTTTAAAAATTCTTTATTGCTGGTGATTCCCGCCCACCCCAGCTCATCTGAAGGTAGAGGATGATAAAATTACATTTGAAAAAAATCAAGAGAATTATGACCCTGATACTGATATTACCAACAGAAGCCTTTATCTTGCAGGGGTTACTTTAGCTGGCTAAGGGAACATCTCTGCACTACTCATTTGCTTACAATAAAACATTTTTGCAGTTTATGGATACTTACTAGTAAAACAATTGACAAGATTCCTAGATGTTATTTAACATCCTGGAGCACAACAATCACCACTGTTGGCTTCTTAGTACCCTTATTCCAGCTTGCTCTGATTTCCCTCTCCAAGGCACATACTTCTGTTTATTTATACCCTACATGAGATTATCTGTACTAGTCTCTTTCCTACTCATCACCTGACCCTTCAGAAAAAATATTATCCCCAATTGTAATCCTCGTTTAAAAAAGCAGTATCTTGGCTCTGGTGAAAAAAAGGGGACGCTACATGCTTCATAAAGACATTTACACATGCAACGTGGCTGCTAACATCTGAATCAACAGGAGCTTTTCAAAATTAATGGCACGAAGATAGGAGCTATTTTTAATTGTCGTAAAACCTGATATGGTTATTGCAGGTAACTTGCAAGAAGTTTAGGAATATCCAAGCTTCATGGGGGTTGTGTAAATAACCTAGATTTAATAACCCTGCTTTGGTGCCAACAGAGATTACTTTTAAGATGCACCTCTTGTACCACCAGATGCCAAATGCATGACCCTGACCACTGGAGCATCTTCTCCCCACTATACTCTAGAACTGTATTCCCTGCGACAAGTGGAAATGACTCTGCAACCAGTTTGACTTTGCAACCAGTTCTGCACACAGAGCTCCAAGGTAATCACCCTCTGAATCCTTAGCACTAAGAATAGGGTGAATTAAACAGTTATCTTCGGGGTTCTGAAATCACTCTTAAAAGTAACTAAAAACTAAAGCTACTTAAGCTTCTTACTCGACTTTAAAGTAACAAAACAGATTGTTACTACAGTATAGTTTATCTTCTAACTAAGCTAGTTAATAATTTCTGGATAGTTGAACAAATGAAGGACCTGTTAATGTCTATACATTCTGATAAATAAATTTCCTGTTAATTAATATGATTTAGCAGAAGTGAATCTAACTCAGTACAACAACCAACAAGATGCTACTATTCGATATCTATATTCATTCACATTCCCATTTTTATATTGGACTGCTGATGCAGTAACATTCTTCAACTTGCCTTCATCACAATTAATATGGAGATATATATCAATAGTATATTCAAATTTCTACCCTCTGGGAAAAAAAACAACGCTTCATTCAGAACCACACTAATCAACAACAATTAACTTTTTTGAAAGTCAAAATATTAATCTAAAACACAAATATTCTGCCATATTATACACGGAAAATGCTTATAGATGAGATGCTTTTCCTTGCTCCTTATCTGATCCCAATTTATTTTTAGCATGCCATTTACTTACTGAAAAGATTTTCATCATTTAATGACAACTTTAACTTAGATGCCATTGATGGAAAAGTACGGTATAAAAATTAAGCACCAACATTTTTTCACACAGCGAAATTTTTGTGATGGTGCAATGACATTAAAACCCCAGGAAGAACACTACTTCACTACTTCAGTACAGCTAAGAAGAGAGGTCCTAGAATTTTAGTTTGTTTTCCTTAGATCACTCTGTTCTGATACATTTGCATATTTCAGAAAGAAATGCCACAAGCCATATGCCACAAGGAAAACAGCCAGATGTCTATCTAAAGTATCAACATTAGATCTTAAAATCTAGATTTAATAATTTCAAAAAACCAAGAACTCACTTATCCATGGCATGCTTTGTAAGTAGTTTTTGTAACAGAATCCAAGCATTTTAAGCCTTTTTCACTTTAAGCCATTCCTGCACTACAAACCATCATGAGAACTGTCACTGAGATAATAATATGTGGTGTTAATATGCTTAGTGGATATTTTTTTCTTCTTAGAATCACAGGCTTCTTTGGGTTGGAAGGGACCTTAAGGCTCATCCAGTACCAACCCCCTGCCACAGGCAGGGTAAACCTTCCACTAGACCAGGTTGCTCCAACTGCTGTCCAACCTGGCCTTGAACACTGCCAGGAATGTGGCAGCCACACTTAGATTTTTACTTCCACTGGCAGTTATGACAGTCCATGCAACTATAAGAAACCACCCGTTTAAAGACTTAGTATTTAATTTTCAAGACATAAGAACTTGCATCCATTACTCGAGTATTATAATATCCACAGCGAACAGCGAAGATTATTTTCTGCTTTCCTAAAAGATCAACTAAACCATCAGTAAATTCAAGGAAGCTCTTGCTAGAGGAATAAATTCTATGGATTTTTT